ACAATATCTGCTAGCGGTAGGCTTGGGCTGTTACAAGAAAAGAATCATAAAAATGTGCTAGGTGAATGGAGAATATTAAAGATCCAACTTCAGGTGTTGCATAAAAGATTGGCTTAGTTACATGGCCGGCAATCTTATCAGTAGTTTTCTTAATTGACTTCATTGTGAATTTAACAAAAAATAAATGAAATACCAATTTCTAGGAGTGATCTTCTTAGTCATGTAAGATGTTGTTGTCCTTACAGAATTTTGATCAGCAATCCTACTATGTTATCCCCGAAAAAATGATTTAACTTACCTTCAATCTGTTTGTGCCAGCAAATCTTTCATCTACAAGAGCAGCCATATATGAATCCTATACCCAAACAGTAAATCCAAAATAAGACAGATATTATATATCAGAGTGGATAGTTGAAGTAAAAGTTAAACTTGTATCTGAGAACCAAAAAGTCAATCAATCTAACATTCGAAGATTCAAACATTCCCAGATTTAATGTATATGTTAGAAATGAGCGTTATTTGCATAGTTAACTTCAACATCCATTTCTCCCATCTGGACTCGTGGATCAAAGCATTACAGAAATCAAATCATAAGACAGAAAACAAAAAAACCAACCTTCTCAACTGCAAGCACTGTAGCACCTAAGTCAATAAGGACGCTGGTTAACGATCCAGTTCCGGGCCCAATTTCCAATACCACGTCACCCTCTTTAACATTAGCTGCAGCAGCCAGCTGCTCGTTTATTGAAGAGTTCAACATATAATGCTGCAAACATAAAAGATGCCAACAAGTGAAGGAAGGAAACCATAGGCTACTTGGAATTCGGTTCAATCCTACCAATGACTACTCATCCTTGAGAGAGGATCAAATCAAACTTGCAGTTTACTAATAATACTCTCGAATGTCCCATCTTCAATCCCCGTATTTAAATCTTCAAACCTCGTTGTCTCCCTAGTTTTGGGCAGGAAATGAGACCTCAATACTAATCATCAAAAAAAGTGATTACCTAATGACTTGCGTGAAGAAAAAGATCAATACATAAAGAATAGATCCCTCCAAAATTATCCAGATACTTGGTGTCCTCTCAATTCTTAAATGCTATCCAGAACAAAGGCTTCCTCCTGAATTCCAGCATGTAATCGAATAGAGAAAATGACTCTACATTTCCTATATCAAGATTTCCACACAAATTATAAAGTGGCCATTACTAATTTACCATACACATTTCCCAATTTCCCAGTAATCCAAACGCAGATAAAAGAAATTAACATCGTAAATCACTTAAATAACTAGGACATAATCAGATAAACGCAGTGTTGGAGAACAAACCTGGCCGAGAGATTTTCTTGGCATGCGGCCTTTGGAATTGAGAGCTCTTAGAGTGGAATGATAATCATCAGGATTAACTCTTCCCCCCTTTCTCACTGTAGCAGCAGAACAAGATACGAACGGAGTAGCCCGCCGTGCGCCGACGGTGGGAGTAGTCGCCGGAAAACAGAATTTAGGGCTCTGCGGAGAGTTCGTAGGGGAAATTGGCGGGAGGAAGAGATTCGGAAGTGGCGGTGCTGCCATTTTCTCACTCTCCACGGCTTACAAGCTGGGACGAACGTGGATAAAAGTGTCCTGAATTTTGGAGGAATATATAATTAGATAATTCCAATTATAAAATGTTATATTAGTAAAAATATCTTAATAATACTCTTTAATTTTTAACAAATTTAAAAGAAAAAATTAAAAAAATTACCTTTAAATTTTAAAAAGTTTCTTTGTAGTTTTTTTTAATAAATTTTGAAAATATTTTTATAATTAGTACCATATTAACAAATATTTTAATCTATATTTTATTTTATGTATATATGTATTTTGTATTTTTATGAGTTTTAATTGTGTTAATTAATCTCTAATTTGGACTTCATAATTTGGTTATAATTAATTACCTCAGTTGAATAAAGTTAATTAAAAGTTACTCAATGGTTGCCACAGTACAACTATATTATTAGACTTACTTAAAACCGAGAAATTTACAGTAGCAGTAATTATTGGAAATAAGAAGATGTGAATAATAATTATGGAATATTAAAATTGTGACTTAAAACTAGACACTATATATAATTGTGTATATTTATGTGTTATGGCGTCCTATAATATAATATAAAATAAATAAATAAATAAACCTATATTTTTTTTATGGATAATTTAGACTCGATCTTATTTTAAATTTTTTTGTTTGATTTAAAAAAAATTAAAATATTTTTTAATTTAAAATTTTTTCATTAATATCCTCCCACCTAAAAAAATCAATTATATATTTACTCTTAGTAATACCCATAATTTTTTTTTTTATCAACATACCTTTATTTATTATTATTAATGTTTCATAGATTATTTATAAACATTTTAATATTATTTTGAAAGTTTCACGACTATTTTTAAAACGTAGTCTAATAATAAATGTATTTTTTTAATTTTAAAGGTGTTTTTTATTTTTATTTTTTGAAAATTAAGAATATTAATTAAACTTTTTTTTTTAATAAAGTATTTACAGTCTTCTATTTAAAACTAACGATATATATATTTTTTTTAATTTTTATAAAAGTTTAATTTTTTAGTTTTTTTAACTTTTATAAGTTTAATTAAATGGAATAAATCTATTTATAGGTTTTTTCTAAATAATTAAAAAAATAATCTTACAACCCAATTTAACCCAACTCGAAAATAGAGTATTAAGTTGGGTTGAGTTGTGAACTTTATTCGATCGGGTTACTAACCCAACTAATATGAAATCTCGAGCTTGTCCGAAACAAATTCTCAACCTAACCCATATACACCCATAAAAACTACAACCTAATATAGATTCTCAAAACTTATTCCATTTTGTTCAATCATTAAATCGATCAATCTCGAACCATAATGACAGGTTCGTTGCTCAGCTTATAAAAATCCCAATTTATAGTGATTTTCGAGACGGGCAACCATTTTATACTATATATTAATGCATAACTATTCAATCAAATATACTAATATCATGAATTATTGAAAATAAAAAATGGTAAATTATTGGACTTTTTGCTTTAAATAAACCAATTTACATGTGATTTTACTTTATTAAAAAGCAATTTACTATTATTTTTAAATTAATTTATTCATTTTAATATTCTCATTGCAAAAATAATATATTTTTATTAATTTTCATATTATTATTTTCTGCCATTACCTACCACTCCCACTACCACTAAGAGAAATAAAAATAATATATTTTTATTAATTATATATATATTGTCAATAATATATAATTACATGTTCCCACATCTTTCCAATAAAAAAAACTAAAAAATCAACCAATAATAATATTTATATAATTTAATTAGTTAAAAAATGTAATTTTGGAAAATGTACTTACAAAATTATTAATTTTTTAATTTTAATTAATACAATAAAAAAAATTAAGATATATTGATTTTTGCAGCCGAAAAAACAGTAGTGATATTTCTCACACGTGGGGTAAAAGAAAACAACACGTACGGATGGCTCTACACGTGGTAGATCTGCCACGTCATTCTGTCGATAAGGATGGAGCCAGAAAAGGTTCAAAATTGGCTCAATCTTGACCGATGGTTCCCAAGTGATGGTTTAAATCCTAGCCGTCCAATTAAAGGCTCCGTCTCTCCAATTAAAAATAGGAGAAAAATATTGATTGGATAATAAAGTAAATTAATTTAGTATATAAAAAAAATAATATTATCATTTATTTTGAGATGGTTATTTTAAAGTAAATTAATTATTATAATCAAATTATAAAAGTCAATGTTAAACATGATGAAGTAGTGATCATAATTAATTTATATTTTTATGAGATTATTCAATATTTCTTTTAATTAATTAATTAATATTTTTTATTTAGCACCAAAAAAATATTAACAATGAGTACTAACACATGCTTTGAATTATAGATTCAACCTAATCCCATTAAATAAATAAATATATTTTTTCTAAAATTAATATTTATGAATATTTTAAAAAATTAAAATTTTAATATTTATGTCAACGTCAACATTTTTAATAATTGAAGTTAAGTTAGGAATCTTGCTAATTAATTTCATATAGTAATAAATAATAAAAAAAAAATTAATTTCATTAGATAAACAATCATCCCTAAATATGAACATGAGGCTTAGTGAAGTAGATCGAGGTTGCGTTGTTGGGTGCTCTTATTGAAAAAAATAAGTGGAGTCATGTCGATACGACTGAATCTGTGAGATCTCATAATCCTGCATTGGTTGGGGAGAGAAAAGAACTAAACACCCTTTTTCTAATAGATGTTTTAAAGCCGTGAGACCTTAGGAGTGGCTTGTGAGATCCTACAAGCCTTAAGGGGAAGCCCGAAAGGGAAATTTCTCAGGTAGACACATTTTAAAGCCTTGAGGCCTTGAAGGGGGTGAATTGTGAGATCCGAGGCTTGAGGGGAAGCCAAAAAGGGAAATTTCCCTAACATACGCGTTTTAAAGCCTTAGTCTTGAAGAGAGATGGATTGTGAGATCTCACAAGCTTTGAAGAGAAGCCCGAAAGGGAAATTTCCTTGGTAGACACGTTTTAAAGCCTTGAGGCCTTGAAGCGGTGTATTGTGAGATCCCACAAGTCTTGAGGGAAAGATTAAAAGGAAAATTTCAGTAGCAAACACGTTTTAAAGCCTTGAGCCCTTGAAGGGGGTGGATTGTGAGATGTCATAAGCCTTGAGGGTAAACCCGAAATGGAAAGCCCAAAAAGAACAACAATATCTAATAGTTACAATATTGGATAGCTGTTGATCTCATCTATATTTTTCGTACCTTCAATCTTACTTATGTTTCTCATTCTTAATATGATATCAGACCATTATTCTTAACATTTTTTTTTATCAAGGAATGGAAAGAATTTTAGATTTAATATTCTAAATATCCCAAAAACTAAACGGTTATATTAAAGTTCAAACATCCATGTTGCCTCTCGTTCCCAACAATCCCATAGTAAATTAATTGTTTATGAGTCAGAATCTGAGACGAAGCGACAGTGGGGCTAACAATTTCCTCCTACCAGAGAGAGAAATTGGTATGAGATGTCAAGAAATTTGATTTTTGAATGCGATCGTCCTTGTCGGTGTCTATTACTGTTACAAAAAAGCTCTGATTCTTCTTCAATCGTTTTCAAATTTCGGCTTCTCGATCCTCTGGTACTGTGTCCTTTCACTCTTTTCCTGTTCATTAGCTTCGTCGTCTTCCCGCGATGATTTTTCAAACTTTTTTAGCTTTTCCCCAAATTAAGAACCATTTTGTAGCTTCTGGATTTTCTTGAATCTTCGAGTTTGTTCATTGGATCGATTCCCATTCTTAATTCGAGCAATGGTTCTTCAAGATCAGACGCTTTCCTTGAATCACTGCTGTTGAAAAAGCGTTTGCAGATCAAGCTTTACTTGGTTTACTGTTCTTGAGTTTTGAAGGTTTGCTCCTGAATTTCGCTTTTGCTTGCCTTTTACTTGTTTGATCTTTCAGGATTTGTTTGTTCTTGTGGTTGAGTGTTTATCTGGGTATTGATTGATGTGGTTCGATGTATTCTTTACAGGTTGAGGAGTAGCAATTGCATATGGTGGCTATTATGTTCATCATGCTGGAAATGTTCCATTTCTGAAGGAAATCATATCAGTTCAAGGTATTCTATTACTAGCTGGACCCATCTGAAAAAATAACTTGTTTATATCTGAACAGCCCAAGGTTCCTACTATTGTTCTTCATTATTGAAAGGAAAAAGTTCATACACTGTCTTATCTTCAAATTGAAGTTTCTCTTTCAATCCATAATCAGCTAGTTTCCTTATGATATCAAATGGTAAAGAAAAAAGGGAATATAGCTCAAATAGACTCCCAAACTCATCTCACCCTAGCTCTATCGCAAGTAGATATTTTTCTAGTTGGGCTTTCTCTTTTGGATTTCCCCTCAAGGTTTTTAAAACGTGCCTACTAGGAAGATGTTTCCACACTCTTATAAAAAGTGTTTCGTTCTCCTCTCCAATCGACATGGGATCTCACAGTTCACCTCATTCGAGGCTGAGCGTTCTTGCTGGCACTCATTCCCTTCTCCAATCGATGTGGGACCCCCGAATCCACCCCTCTTGTCGGCACACTGCCTCTTGTCCACCCCCTTCGAGGCTCAACCTCTTCGCTGACACATCGTCCGGTGTCTGGCTCTGATGCCATTTGTAACCGATGTTGTCTTATTTGGACTTTTTCTTTCAAGCTTCCCCTCAAGGATTTTAAAATGCATAAAGAATGTTTTGTTCTCCTCTCCAACCGACTTGGGATCTCAAAAAAAAAAAAAAAAAAAGCAAAATACTTTTGCATTTATGAGAGGAGATAACTCATGTGGCAGCTATACTGCACTCTAGTTTTCTGTTGGTTGGTTGTCGTTCATTGTTTTCAGCAGAAAATATGTGCCGGTTTGGCTTTTCTTTAAACCTCAAATACAATTTTTGTGTCTATATTGCAACCCCTCCAATGTCTTTCGATTTGAATAACGTTGTTTTTTGCCTGTCTGTCACTTGGATCATGTCTTGAACTTTGCTGTTTTGTTTGAATTTGTTCTGATAGTTTAGCTCTGTACTGCTCAATTCATTTCCATTTGGAGAATCATGGTGGAGGTTAGTGTAAAGGGACGTCGGGGAGAATCTCGGTTGGCTGAAGATTGGTTGTTACTTGCCCAAGAGCTGGTCCCGGTAGCACTACGTAAGGCTATGGAGGTCGAAGTGTTTCTCGGTAGGTGGAAGATGATTATTTCCAAGATGGAGCGAATCCCGTCTCGTATATCGGATTTGTCTAGCCACCCCTTTTTCGCCAAGAATGCTCTCTGTAAAGAGCAATTGCAGGCTATCTCGAAAACGTTGGAAGAAGCAATTGAATTGGCGGAGATCTGTTTGCAGGAAAAGTATGATGGGAAGCTTAGAATGCAGAATGATCTCGACTCGTTATCCGGGAAGTTGGATTTGAATTTGCAAGATTGTGGCCATTTGATCAAGATCGGTGTGCTGGGTGAACCCACTTTGCCTTTATCTGTAACTGGTACTTCAACTGAACCCGAGTCGATTGACCATAGAAATGTGAGGGAATTGCTCGCCCGGTTACAAATTGGGCACTTGGAAGCCAAGCACAGAGCTCTCGACAGCCTTGTCGAGGTCATGAGAGAGGATGAAAAGACTGTCCTCGGCGTCTTGGGACGTAATAACGTTTCTGCTCTAATCCAGTTGCTTTCTGCAACATCGCCCTGCATTCGTGAGAAAGCAGCAATGGCGATTAGCTCGATTGTGGAATCGCGGAGTTGCGAAAATTGGCTGATTTCAGAGGGTGTTCTACCACCTTTCATACGACTTGTCGAGTCTGGAAGCACTCTTTGTAAAGAAAAGGCTGCAATTTCCCTCCAAAGACTATCAACATCAGTCGAAACTGCACGCGAAATCGTTGGCCATGGAGGAGCTCAGCCACTGATCGATATCTGCCGAACCAGCAACCCTGTGTTGCAGTCGGCAGCTTCGTGCACTTTGAAGAACATGTCAGCCATTCCAGAGGTTAGGCAATCTCTAGCCGACGAAGGAATCATTCCAGTAATGATCGATCTCCTCGGTAGCGGAATTCTCTCAGAGTCGAAGGAACACGCAGCCGAATGCTTGCAAAACCTCACTACAGGCAGTGAAAAGCTACGAATGTCTGTGATTTCAGAAGGTGGCATACAAAGCCTATTAGTTTACATCAACCACACACGAACCCAAGAATCCGCCATAGGGACACTGAGAAATCTCCTCAACTTGGTTCCGACCGAGATTCTAACATTTCTTGGCGTTCTTCCATGTCTACTTCGTGTCCTTAAAGAAGGATCATTAGGTGCTCAGCAGGCAGCTGCATCAGCAATCTGCGTGGTTAGCAGCTCACCAGAGATGAAAAAGATACTCGGGGAAGCGGGGTTCGTTCCTCCACTGATCAAGATGCTCGAGGCGAAGTCAAACAGTGTCCGAGAAGTGGCAGCACAAGCCATCGCGAGCTTAATGATGCTGTCCCAAAACAGCAATGAAGTGAAGAAAGAAGAGAATAGTGTCCCAAATCTTGTGATGTTGCTGGACTCAAATCCAAAGAACACAGCAAAGAAATATGCAGTGGCATGCCTTGTAAATCTTGCTCTGAGCAAGAAATGCAAGAAGCTGATGATATCACATGGAGCAATTGGGTATCTCAAGAAACTTGTAGAAATGGAGGTTCCTGGTGCTAAGAAGCTATTAGAGAGATTGGAAAGAGGGAATTTGAGTATTTTCAGCTGGAAATAAACCAAAAACCGAGTCGTTCATCGTTCCATCCATCGTATGCTCGTCATTTTTGTTGGATCTTGCTGTTCAAATCGTCGCGGATTGTATATATTCGAGTATGAACGACGAGAGCAAACTCGATTCCTTGTTCGTGAGGATATGAGCGGAGAATTTGACTCAAGAACCATCCGTGTCTCTCCGTTTTGCTTTGTAATATTCGGAATCCTTCTAAATTACAAGTGTTTATTAGGTTTGAGAACTTAAAATAAAAGTTTAATAAGTCCCTAAACTTTCGATTTTGAGTTATCGAACTCTTAATTTTGTATCAAATAAGTCTCTAACATATTTAAATTTTTAAATAGATCTCTAAACTATTCAAAATTGTTAAATCCGGTAGAGCTCGATTGATTAAGAATCAATGTTATGAATAAAGATGAAATTATATTGATATCGACGTTATATTAAATTTCAAATTTAGGGGACTATCGATAAAATATCAATAAAATTTTTCATAAATAAAAAATTAAATTATTAATTTAATTGATAAATAAATATATTTTTTGTATTTTATGAATATTTATAAAAGATATTGGATTCATAGGCTTTTAAATATCACACAAATTATTTAAATTTCTCATCCCACCTTTAAAAAAAAACAATAAAATAAAGTTAAATTTACGTGGCATGTTATAAAAATATATTTTTTTCGCTCGCAAACGGACGGTCATGATCGGGCGCGGAAAGATTGGGGGCATCATCAACGGCCAGAAACAGAAGTCAGAATAATTCCACCATGAGGTCGTGACACGTAAGCAAGCGTCTGGCTGACGTGGCCTTGCGATATTTTTGTTGGTTAGTCTCGGAAGGAAGAGGACCAAACACTCCCTTATCGTTCCTCTTCTGTTTATCATCATCTTTCATTAGCGGGAAATTGCGATACGGAAGCTACTGATACTGAGAGGCTCAGCGACACGGAGCAGAGAAAACGAAGCAGAATCACTAGATATTGTAATTTTTCTTGAACGAATCCTTATTTTTTGGTAATGCTATGTGATTTAGAATCCCGTTTCTGTGATTATTTGTACATATATTCAGAGACCTAGATAGGTTTCTTTATGAATTTAATCATGGTGATTTGTTTGTTTCCTTCATGTTCTTGGTGGATATTTTGAGGCAATTCTCATCGATTCTTTGGATTTTGTGGTTTCGTTGTTCTTGTTCTAGCCAATACTCATTCAGATTATTGTAGAATGGTTAGATTTCTCTTTTCTTATGAGTTTTCTTTCATATGATTTGTTTCTGGTTAAGAAGGAAAGGAGAGGCTTAAAGAACCCTAAGTAATCCTCACTGTGCACGAGCTTCTATGAAGTGGAATGGCTGATGTGATGCCCCATCCTGTTGTTGTTTCTTTCGTTTTTCCTTTTTATGTTCTTTCTCTTAGAAAGTTGTTTGATGAGATGGCTGGAATGAATCTGGTAGTTGTAGCTTATCTGAGACCAAATTGAACACCTCTAATACTGTTCGGATCTTACTTCGAGACATACTTTATGAACTAGCTCAAGCACTTTTTTAGATGTTAAAAAGTCTATGGAGTGCTACTATGAGATCCCAACTCGATTGGAGAGGGGAACGAGTGCTAGCGAGGATGTTGGGCCCCGATGGGGGGTGGATTGTGAGATCGCACATCGGTTGGAGAGGAGAACGGGGAACGAAGTATTCCTTATATGGGTGTGGAAACTTCTCCCTAACCGACGTGTTTTAAAAGCCTTGAGGGGAAGCCTGAAAGGGAAAGCCCAAAGAGGATAACATCTCAAAGGGAGGTGGATTGTGAGATCTCATATCGGTTGGAGAGGTGATCGGGGAACGAAGCATTTCTTATAAGGGTGTGGAAACCTCCCCCTAACAGAAGCGTTTTAAAAACCTTGAAAGGAAGCCCGAAAGGGAAAGCCCAAAGAGGACAATATCTCGAAGGGGGTGGATTGTGAGGTCTTACATCGGTTGGAGAGAGGAACGGGGAACGAAACATTCCTTATAAGGGTGTGGAAACCTCTTTTTAGCAGATGTGCTTTAAAAACTTTGAGGAGAAGTTCAAAGAGAGCAATATATGCTAGCGGCGGGCTTGGACGGTTACCGCTAACTAAAAGGACTTGAACATAGAGACTGGACCACTAACTAATGTAGGATAGGCATGATCAATCCTCCTAGAATTGCAATCCAATCCTAAGCATCACTCTGAAACGAGCTCGATGTTGTACTTTCCTTGCTTGCCTTATTGGGACAAAAACAAAGAGCTTAAAGGGAACGAGCTCAATCCATAGTGGCCATCTACCTACAATCTAATATTCTACGTGTTTCTTGTGAACCAAATGTAATAGAATCAAACAAGATATGCATAGCTTGCGTTAAGCTTTCTCTTTCCTAAATAGCCACCTGAAATCTGTATGTTATCCTTTGAAGGTGCATGCATAAGTTTTAGAGATGAGCACATTGGATGTAACCAGAGCAGAACTTGCCCTTGTTGTTCTGTATCTCAATAAGGCTGAAGCCAGAGACAAGATCTGCAGAGCTATACAATATGGCTCCAAATTCTTGAGCAATGGAGAACCTGGAACAGCACAGAATGTGGATAAATCCACTTCCTTAGCTCGCAAAGTCTTTCGTCTTTTCAAGGTTTGCTTTTCGACACGTTTATACTAAGAATTTGGCTTGTTGTGTTGCTGTTCTAGCTTCTTTTGCATATTTTGCAGCATACCCTTTTGCTTAATCTTTGTCTAAATTATTCTCTGTTTGAATCTTGTTGTTCATCTGTAGTTTGTCAATGATTTGCATGGACTAATCAGCCCTCCTGCCCAAGGAACACCTCTTCCCCTTGTTCTTTTAGGGAAGGTAGGACTTTATAAACTTCTTGAATACACTTACTTGTATCATTCTAAATCAAATCCTGTCCTAACTCAATGGTTCTTACAGTGCAAAAACGCTTTGTTGTCGACGTTTCTATTTCTCGATCAAATTGTTTGGCTCAGCAGGACAGGCATCTATAAGGTATCACTCAAATTCCAGCTAAATGTCTGCCATTCGTGTCGACTTTATGGCTATTATCAGCATTGACACGTATTTTTTGATAGAACAAAGAACGTGCTGAGCTGATCGGTAGGATATCACTGTTCTGTTGGATGGGTTCATCAATTTTTTCCACATTGGTTGAGGTCAGTGTTTTCCAATTTTACCTGCATTGAATTATGTCTTTCACTTGATGCAACTGATATCCTTTATCTTTCCTTGATGTATTAGCTTGGAGAGCTTGGGAGGCTTTCCTCAGCTAGGAAAAAGCTGGAGAAGGATCTTAAGAACAAGAACAAGTATGAAGTATGTTAACTTATCCCTATCAACAATGAACTAAACATTCTACTGTTTCCCTATTGGACACCCTCTTTATTGTACTGTTTTTTTTGGGTGTATTGAATTGATCTAGGATGAGAAATATCAAGTGAAGGTTCGGCAATCGAACGAGCGATCCCTTGCTCTTATTAAAGCCGCCATGGATATCGTTGTTGCAATCGGGCTGCTTCAGTTAGCTCCTAAGAAAGTAACACCTCGTGTCACGGGAGCATTCGGATTCGTCACCTCTCTGATATCATGTTATCAGGTACTCACTGATTCTTCATCAGTATCCCTTTTTCAGCATGATATCATAACTTAAATGCATTCATAGGGCAAAAATATGGAAGAATCTCTGAACATTGATGCTCATAAATGTCACTAAAGAGCGTTTTTCTTAAAAAAAAAAAAAAAGAAGAAGAAGAATTTTAACGAAGTAAACGATATATACTAAAAGGGATTTGTTTATAAAGCTCAAAGCTCGAGATTAGAATGAAATATTTGAAAGTTTATAGATCAAAATAGAATGAGTGAAGACGTTTAGTTATTAGAGTTTGTGTTTCTGGGATGCAGTTGCTTCCATCAACACCAAAGTCCAAGGCCTCCTGAAGACAGACACTCCTTGCTACTCGAGAGTATGAATGCTAAATTCATATTAATAGCTATTTGAATGTGTAAAAAAAAAAATACATATTTCCTGTGTAACCCTTACTGCATTCACTGACTTCAGGGTGAAATCAAAATTTTATATATTCATCATGAACTTCTGGAAATTGCTTCTGTGTATTATCATATAGTATCTCTTGCAGATGAACTGATATTCTTCCTGAGATTAAATTATAATGGTTGCTTATAGGAACAATGGGAGTCATAAAAATGGGAGTAAATTTTATGACTTTGATTGAGTTGTTGTTGTAACAGCTCAAGCTTACCATTATCAAATAGTCTTGTTTGGACTGTTATAAATGGTATCAAAGTCAGGTTATCGGTCGGTGTGAGGCACTGGTCGGAGTAAGGCTAGACCCTCTCCATAGTAGACGTGTTTTAAAACTGTGAAGTTGACGACAATACAGAACATATCAAAGTGGACAACATCTGTTACCGGTAAGCTTGGGGTGTTACAAATTTAACATACGTGTTTAAGGGTGTGAAAACCTCTCCTTAACATACGTGTTCTAAAAACCTTGAGAGGAAGTCCAGAAAGGATAGTCCAAAGAGAACAATATTTACTAGCGATATCCTTGGGTTGTTACAGTTTTGTTCGGTGTGACCACTTATTGGCATGAATTCACTTATTTTATTCCCGGCTTTCATTATCTTATCAATAGCTTCACTTGCATTATCGGGTATAAGCGATTTTGTTGCCTATTTGACACAAAATTGAATGGTCTTAGACCATTTGATGCCGTTTAAACAGCTACAAATGCATTCAGAATCCAAGAGAGATGAAAAATATTGTTGCACTATAGTGGTATTACTACTAACATTTTTTAACTACATCCAACATGAAGCAATAAAAAAGCTGTTCTGTTCACATTCATCTACACGAGAGCCAGCAATCTTGTACAGATTATTTAGCACAATAAAAAAGGCTGTTCTTTTCACATTCATCTTCCTCTTCTTTTGTTCTTGGGACAAGGTGATTAATTTAGGCAACAAAGTCTTCATCTGATTCATCTTCTTCCTCACCCCATGCATAATACTCACCTTGGACTACATTTCCCCGAAGCATGTTCACAATCTGTCGCAATTCAACGACACGTCTCTCCAAATACGTGGGAAGGATCGTGCGTGGCTCATTCTCGAGCATAATCAATTGGTTACAAGTTGTCTTTGCCTGATAATTACATTTCAAAAGAAACTCCCCTGAGGGTTCGAGGATTTCGATGTCAAATGAAGGCGATAATGGCCGTCCGATAACTTTAACATGAGAAACACTGCAGTGAAAACATGAGTTTGTTAAGGCATTATTAGTCCAAGATGCAACAAACTTAATTCTATGTACATAAGTTCATGGATAACTCGAGCAAAAACTAGACGAAACTAAAGGTTTCTGACAACTTAGTGACTTCAAGCACATTCATCCAAGAATCCCGTCTATATATAGTTCAACAGTTCATCTTATTCGCATCAATCACCCAAAAAAGAGGTAGAAATTTATTCTCAGCTAGTCCAAGTATTCAAATTATTCTCAGCTGGTAGAAATCACGAGTTTCGAACCTATCTCACTGGTATAGTGGCTACGCAACACCAAAAATGGTGAATCCCTGGAATGCTGTTATCGATGAGGGCTCGTACAGACGCGATAAATGGATTAACTCTATTTTTTGTAAAGAAGGAAAATTTACTAGTCGAGTTTGATTTAAGTTTTTAACGGTTTCAACTCCATTATAAAGGGGCTCTAGGGAAAGGTTGTTGGGATGTTCACACTTATTCTTGGAGTAGAAAAACTCTATTTTCCTCTTTGTCTTAGTGATGGACATCCTCGGCAGGCTCAAGTCGATAGGAGTGGAAAAGGGTGTGATTGAGGACTTCAAGCTGGGCAAGAACTTGGTTCATCCGTCTCATACTAGCGACACGTTCTTCTTTTGTTAATCCAAATAGGTAAGAGTTCCATTTTTTGTATAAGTTGGTGTCCTTCCAAGTTAGCATCATGGGTGGTGGCATTGGTGACTAGTAAGTCAGTTCCCTTAAGCCAAGTTTTTCGAGTCCGGTCTTAGTAAAGTTTAAGAAACGGTTGTCTAGTTGGAACGAAGCATTCTTTATAAGGGTGTGGAAATACAATCCACCCCAAAGAATGTTTCGTTCCCTCTCCAACCAATGTGGAATCTCACAATCCACCTCTTTTCGGGACCCAGCGTCCTCGCTGAAACTCATCATGAATGTCCCTTCTCCATAAAGTTCGTCCAAATCCGTTTCAAGTAAAGGAGTACATTCAAAAGTTCGTAATCCTTAACCCCCCCCCCCACACGCGCACAAAAAAGATCTCAATCTTTCAATGCATACGTGCAGAGCGCTACAGAACACAGGCAGGCGAAAAATGTATATATATACTACTGAACATACCATATGTAAAACAAAGCATCTGTTTCTTGTCTTTGTACCCTGCCAAGCAGCTCAATTTGTAAAATGCCTCCTACGCAAAGAACAGGTTCAGGGAGTATGAACTTCTGCAAGTAATTCTCCTGTTCAGTAAGATGTCATTTCACTGGTTAGAGATAGAATCGTTCGAAATAATAACACGTGAGCGCGAAATACCCAAACAAAATACAAATCTATTACACTATATCGCAAGTTCATGGATTTTAACCATGTTCAAATCAAATAGAAGGTATCAAATTCTAGTGCCAGATATGTGGAATAACTAAGTGGACAAGATCCAAGATCACGGACAGAGTTTCGGTATAAATTACTACAATCTGAAACGATAACCCCTAACTGATTGACCCAACTAAAATACAAAAAGAACGTCTCCAATAGAAGAATGACGAGCACTTTGAGCAAGGAAAGGGACTTTGATAATAAGAGAACGCCGAGTGCATTAACAAAGCGTAGACTTCGATTATACCTGAGCCATTGGAAATTCTGGAGAAGTGTAGGTCCATACAAACGTATCGTTTCCAGATCCCCAGTGTGACTCCCCAATCAGATCGCTTCTAGGATTCATGACACGGTTTAAATGACCAAATCGGAAACGCACAGCTTTAGCTGAGTATATAGGTGAACCTGGCTGAAAAAATGCTGGCCAGGAAAATAGACTCAATCATCTAAGCAAACAATATAGAAGGTGAAAAAGCCTACTTGAAGTTTAACATTATAAGAAGAAGTGTCGAAAGAAATACCTTGAAAAGGTCGTATGTTAATTTCAGTTACGACGCATAAATTGGAGACTAATCTGTATATCAGTGTCTCGGGCACATCAGGTTTAAATTGTCCCTTACTCGACCAATATAAAGCTCTCCTTGCAACCACGTCTCTTGGTTCCAACGTGTTGTTGATGGTTTCCTCGGGTTCATTATCAGTGCTGGAAGCAATAAGTGCCTCTAAAATGCAACTTCTCATAAGAAACGATGTAGCCGCATGGGCAAAATAAGCATAAACTTTGTGATCCCTCAGCACGGATTTGGAATCTCTTGAACTACTACATGCTACTTCTATGTGCCCATTCGCTTCCGAGTCGTTCACTTCAACGATTGAAGCTACTCTAGACAAAGGAGGGAATGATCTAAGGCAGAGCTGCTTTGATAGACCATTTTCTATCACTGATAAAGTGCAAAAAGGTAAAATATAATGTCAGTCAATAGAACAATAGAACAAAAGTATAAGGTGTAACAGCCTAAGCCCACCTTTGGGTTTTCCTTTATGGGCTTCCCCTCAAGGTTTTAAAATGCGTCTGCTAGGAAAAGGTTTCCACACCCTTATAAGGAATGTTTCATTCCCCTCTCCAACTTATGTGGGATCTCACAATCCACTACCCTTAGGTGCCCAAGTGTCTAGCTTTGATACCATTTGTAACAACTCAAGCCCACCGCTAGCAAATATTCTCTTTGAGCTTTCCCTTCGGGGCCCCTCAAAGTTTTAAAACGCATTTGCTAGGGAGAGATTACCACATCCTTATAAGAAATGTTTCGTTCCCATCTCCAACCGATGTAGGATCTTACAATGGATCTCCCAATAATATCAAGAATACACTACATCCACATTTTAATCAAAAACGAAAGCTGAGATGGACTTTCTAACTCATGTACTCACCCAAATGTTGCCAACATCGTGAGACGGCACTCGCACGAACGATATCAGAAATATCATCCAAGCACATCAGAATCTTTCTCGACATGTCGGGTTCAAGCAAATCCAAGAAATCCATTATTGGCAACTTACCATAAGAAAATCCAGCAGTCAAACAAATTTAGTCCCAAGTTAGAAACTGAAAAACCTAACATATACTTGCTCAATACGCACTGATACAAATTCAAAACCCTAATCAACCCGTAAACCAAAAGGCTCGAACATAATTCCAATGAACAATCGCGAAACACAAAAACGAATATACAGAATCTCAATATAATGACGACAACACGCAATCATGGCGCTGGATTTAATTTAACCTATGAAACAAAAAGGCTTCAATCGCAATGCAAAATCAAAATTTCCTCGCTAGTAATCATAAGCCCCATTCAACAACCATCGAACAAAAATCATTCAAAACCCCTAATTCACAGAGATTCAAACAACGAAACAACACCGCAGGGCGAAAAACCTAGGAAATCAAAGAGAAAAATCGGAAAAACGAGGCAATCACTCAAGAAAATCCGCAACGAAATCAGTAAACAGATACACATTTCATGAAATTAAAAGAAGAAGCTAATGAGTAGCGATACAAAAACAAACAAGCAACATTCAGAGATAGATACAGAAAGTGAAACGATTTAGAGTGCTTACTTTGATCGGAGACCAAAAGGGTCGCCAAAAAGAAAGCGTTGGAGAAGAATCAGAGCGAAAGAGATTTGGTGGGAGGAAGATAAGCTTAAGAAATAGATGATCATGAAAAGGATGAGAGAACGAGAGAGTAAAATTGGAAAGCAGTTCGAAGGACAGCGAAAGCAGGTTTTGTTTTGTAATTAAATGCTTAATCCTTTTGCTTTTCCATCACCGACCCTACACGTATTCTTTTTTTCTTTTTTTTTTTTTAAATAAATTTTATATATAATTAACATTCCTTTTTATTATTTTTTTTAAACATGGTCCCAATATATTATCTTAAATTAATAAAAATACTTATTTCGTCTCAAAAATAAGAAAATAAAAATTTTAATTACTTTATTTTTAGTGTCCAAGTAAAAAGATTAATATTTTGTTTTTAAAATATTACATTTAAACGGTGAAAAATTTCATTAATACTCTTACAATTTTTTTAAAATTTTTAAAAAAATTCTTAATTTTTTTTAAATTTTGAAAAAAAAAATTATTTCCATTAAATATGGTCGGAATTATTAGTACCATTTTTCAAAAATACACCTTTAAACTTTTTTAAATTAAAATTTTAATAATATTCTTAAATTTTTTTTAAAAAAAAAATAAAAATACTCTGTTTTTAGTTTTGAAGGAAAAAGATGGTTTGTTTTATTTAAAAAATATTTTTAAACCGTGAAAGATACATTTAAACCAGAGATATGGTAAAAATGCACCATAATTTTTGGAAAGTAACATTAATATTTTTACATTTTTTTAAATTAAACGTTTCAATAATATCTTTAAATTATTTAAAAAAAATTAAAAATACTTTATTTTTAGTTTGGAAGGAAAAAAAATTGTTTTTCTTTATTTAAAAAATATTTTTAAACAGTCAAAGATACATTTAAACCAGAGATATGGTCGGAATTATTAGTACCATGTTTCAGAAATACACAGGAACTTTCGAAAGTAACGTTAATACCTTGAAATTGTTTTAAAAAGTTTATCTTTAATATCCTTAAAATTTTAAAGGGAAATAATTTATGAGATGTAGATAGATGGTTTTGGTTCGTATTGACGATAATTATTTTTAAATTTTTTTTTATAAACATTAAAAATATTAATGCTGCTTTTACGAGTATTTTTAAACATAATGTAAGAGTTTTTTTAATTTTTTTATTTTATTTTAAAAGGTTTAAGGTATCTTTAATACATATAGTTTTCGACTATATTTTAAAGGTATTTTTGAGATAAAGTGCAAAATTTATGAGTATTTTTATTAATCTAACCTATATATTAATATGGAGCTAAGATTTGGTTTACGTATGTATGCTAGTTAAAAATTATTATTTTTTTCTCGAATTATAAAATAAAAATGGTTAAAATGTAAATTGAGTGGTCATCTCAAATTCCATATCCATCTCTATGATTTTAATTCCAAATTTAAAAGGAATCTCTAAACCGAATAAAAGTCAAAATATTGATGAATCAAATAGAATTTTTTTAATGAAAGTCAAAAGAATCGTTAGACCATACCTCATAACAAGAAGTCCGGTCAACAATTAGAAAATGAATAATGAAAACACGAACATTCAAATTTTTTGACTTTTTGCACGAGTTTTGAAACCTAATTCCAACAGGTTCCAATACAGTTCACAATCTTACTAATCATGGGACGTGAATTTAGAAGTTTACACGCCCCGAGTACTTTGGTCGTTTCTCTCTAATACACATCAACTAGTCCAACGACCTCTTCAAATAATTTTTTGTGAAAGAGAATCTTCCCTTTGTATTTTTTTTCCAAGGGTAAAAGTGTCATTATTGATACACAACTTTACATTAAGAGAACCAAAAATTAAAAAATTAAAAAAAAATAAAAAAAAAAAGAATCTATACACAAATAACAAAATATTCTCAAAGTCCCAACAACTGCACATTTCACTCCGTATTTGGTTCATTTGGAGGTTTCAAAAACATAAAATGACACCAAAACTTTCAGACAAAACATGTCTGAAAATTGAAAAAACCAAGCATTGCTCCGACGAGTGAGTGACCGACCTCCCGATTCACTGATCGACTTGTAGGAGGCTCAGAGACTCGGAGTGCTGGTCTCGAGCCCCATCAGACTTCCGAGCCATCCCGAGTTCGTCGAGTAAAGAAAGCCACTCTTTCAAATAAACCGTGTCGTCTAAAAGGCAAGAGGTTCGATATTTTACCTGTTGTTTTTAACTACAAAATCTTTAGGCTGTATGAGCACAGAGTCTAGGCAGAGCCCTCCTTTGGTGTGAGTGCAATCAATCTGAGTCAATGCGAATTTGAGCTTCATCAAGTTGCTGCTGCTGCCACTTTCAATGGTGAAATCTCCCACATGGTAGTTCACCCAGTTCCCAGGACTGCCCAAGAAGCACCGTGACTCGATGTGCTGATTATCGGATGTCGTCAGCTGAAACCTCACTGGCTTTACGTCCCAGCCATGGACTTGATCCATTAGGCAGATCCGACGACCGAGTCTCTTCGACGGTTTGCCGAGATGAAGCCGGAAGAACACTGCATATCTTCCTTCTGGGAACTGGAACTTCAGCTCTCCCTTCACCTCGAACCACCATGTTTGTTGAAGATAAGCTATCGACTGAAATCTGGATTTACGAACAGGAAACAAGAAATATCACATCGAAAACGAAGACAGCCAGCAGATTGAACACACCCGAATCTAATACAAGAAAAGAAACACTCGTTTTTGCTCCAATGTTGTTTCCAAACCGAACCGAATCAATGTTAGTTCATACAGATATTATACAATATGTTAGATTGTTTTACAGCACTATGTTATTGGGTAACTCGTAAAGGTTTTGAAATTACTGTGTGTGAATCTGAAAGTTGAGGTTACTTTGATCGTTTCCTCACCACAGCTACACTTGAAATCATTGTTCACAAGCCCAAGTTCGACAGTTCTTCAAAAGTCGAACTTCGAACTTCAATCGTTCGAAAAACACAGGTCATTGTGAAAACACAATAAACAAAAAGCAATTCCAATGGCATGAGTGCCTCAAAGAAAGAACGCAAATCACAAATTCAGTCTCTAAACTTTCAAGATCGTCTCAAGTATCTATGTTTATTCCCCAAATATCGCAATTGCTTCTTCTCCAAGAAAAGAAGTTCACGACCCATCCATAAGAAGTGATCCCATTTTATTCATCGGGTCTGGATATACTAGTTCACAAGCACAACTTCTTCAAAAGTTGAACTTCGAACTTCAATCGTTCTAGAAAACAAGTCATTGTGAAAACACAATAAACAAAGAAAGCAATTCCAATGGCACAAGTGCCTCAAAGAAAGAACGTTAACGACAAATTCAGTCTCTCTAAACTATCAAGTTCGTATCTAAAAGTATCTATGCTTATTCCCCAAATATCGCCATTACTTCTTCTCCGGGAAAAAAAGTTCACGACCCATCCATAAGAAGTGATCACATTTTTTCATCGGGTCCGGATATACTAGGTCACATAGAGTCACAATGGGAGCAAGGTATTACGATTCAACCAGAACCAGAAACTCGACATCGTATGTTCTATTCCACTAGGGACAATATTTTCGAGGTTGGCACGAGCCCAAGAGTTCATAGGCTAAACTTCGTAATCTAACCAAGAACGATTTCGAAGCTCAGTTCCTAACCAAGAATGATTCAAACAACTCTTTTACTCTCAAAATCATCAAATGAAAGCTAACCAAAATCATCAAATCCCAATGCTAAACAGAGTAAATTGATCAACAACAATGCAAAATCATGATAAACAGAGTAAATTGATCAACAACAATGCAAAATCAAAGTTCTTCAGAAGTTCTTAAATCATCTCACCTAGATTCCTCAGTTGAAATATGATTCCAATATCTCCTATCACCAATTCCAGTAATCGTCAATGCCTTCCAAGAAATCGCCATTGATAAGCCTCCAGTTCTCTTGTCGAGCCAAAACTCCTTCACCAATTCAAAACCCTAAATCAACCGACAGTTCATAATCCAAAATTCAACGATTCTAAAGAGAAAAAGAACAGAGAGATGAACCTTCGAGACGCCATTTAAGGGATTTCGTTTACAAAGCCTAGAATAAACATCTTTCTTCCTCAGATTCATCATAGCTTTATCTTTCTCCTCCAGCTCCAGTGCTTTGTCTATCAGAAACTGATAATTAGACGGCAACTTCGATTCCCATACGAAATCCGCGGAAGCAGCGTCGCGGAAAAGTCGGTTTACTCCGGCTAATTTGCAAATCTCCGGCGGGTCCATATGCATCAGAACCAGAGCCACGCAATTTTCCGGCATATCTTCGAGTCCCGACATGAATAGCGGACAATTTCTTCCACTGCAATCCGATAAATTAGCACCCATCCGATTAAACCCTGGATTTTGAAAGAAGAATCCACAGCACCTAGAACTTCAATTCGACTTTAGAACTTAAATTTAAACCTGAATCTGAAGATCTTCACCACGAGATTCAAGGGGAGGAACAAAACCAAACCCAAACTCATTTATTTCAAATACCTAATCAAAATCGAACAATCTCGAACATCCAAATCGATTTTTCAAAGTAATCACCACTTCAAACCCCCTAAAAACTACATTAGCCAAGAATTGAGAGAAAGAAAGATCCAAAGACGACGAGAATTCAAGAACTCCCTGATAACTTATAAATCATTTTAGAGCGAGAGACAGAGAGAAATTAAAATTTTCGTTTTCTCTCTCTAAAATCTGAATTTATTTATCTTCTTGTTCGAGCCGACTGACATGGATGGAGGTAGCGAGGTCGCATCCAGTACAGTGCGATTCATTTTGCAAGATCACGAAGAAAGAGAAACTGATTCTGTTACGTACTAATTTTGAACAGCCGTGTAATACACTCGCGCCAATTGTTGAATAAATGAAAAGCGCGTGTCTTACACGCACTTCTTTTAGCGCGTTTTCAGTTCATTGCTTTTTTTTTTTTTTCTTTTTTTAATTTTTCTTTATTCCAAGTTGTATTTCCGTTTTAAAATTTGTTTTGGATTGAAATTATTGTCTTATGGATAAGATTAAAACCATGGATGAGGTGTTGCTCTAAACATTTTTTTTTTTATTTAAATATTATATCGAATATTTATATATTAATTTA